GAAGGCAGTGTTTTTCGCAGTGGTTGTTGGAACGACTGCCTCCGAGGAAAGCTGCAGGAGATCGGCGGCCACTACTGTAGATGCTACCGTAAGCTACAGCCAAAAGCCCAGTTGAAACAATCAGAAGCGGTTCGAAATCGTGATCCTTGTTAGACACCTGACAAAAAGGTCACCTCTTCTAGTTGACAGACGAGACCGACATTTGAGATTCGGCCGATGCGCGATAGATAGATGATATTCAACGGCGAAAACACATCGAACCGCAACAACAGCGACTAACTACTCTTCGAAATAGGTTCTCTGGAAATTAAGATGGCTCCCTATAAGGTGGGTTCACACTGCTACACCTGTAATTCCATGAAACGAGCGACTGGCCGCACATGCTACTCTGCGATTATGTCGTTTATAGTGGTGGAATGCTTCCGTGATCACTGCTCGTCAGGCTTGGTTTCGAAGCAGATTCCGTAATCACAGATTCTGACGCGACCCGGGTAAGGGTCTGGATATCGCGAAATACCTTGATATCGTCGCAGCCAGTCGGGGTGGTTTCAGCAAGGGTTGAATGACCACACTCGGGCTTTCCCACCACTGGTTGTTTCTTCCTGAATCGATCATCATTGGTAGAACAAGAACAGCAGGAGGCGGGCAATTTCGCCCCCCTGACACCGCTCTGTGTGATGGCGACGTTATCAATATCATCAGAGTGAATCCCACATCATACCAAAAACTTGGGTGTAGTAAACAGTTAGCACATAGCTGTACTAGTTATTGCTAGAAAAATAGGAACGAAAAGAGCTCCGAAAGACCTTCAAATCTGTCAGTCTTATCGACTTCAGATCCGTTATCGAATGTAGAGACTGGCAAAATAAAGCTCTCGGCAGTTTTCAAATCGTTTTACCCAAAACGGTGATTATCCCAGGTGTTATGAGAATATACGTTTCGCAAGTAATACTGGCAACTTTGTTAGATATACTATTAAGGCGCTTGAAAGTTCAAAAACGATGTGCTCTAGCTTTTACCTGCAGAGGCAATCTGGGAAACCGCCGAAGAATCGATGCAGGGAGCATCTGAAATGAAGAGTTTCCGTTAACTTTGACTATAACCGCGCATTCAAAAGAAAAATCAAAATAGTTAATAGTAATTAATAGTAACAGTTCATAATAACAGTGATGACTAGACAACGAAACGGAAGGAGTAAGAAAAACCACTGAAAGCATATTGACGTAAAGAATGCTCAAGAGAATGAACCGAAACAAGAAAGAAGTGCGAAAGTGCCCCCTGAAAAAAAAAACTGCAATTGATGTCCTAATGTTAAGATACTGAATAGAAAGGGGATAGGATGCCACCAAGTGTATGTTAATTCTTACGCCTAAATGGTGTAAGTCGCAGCTGCAGACAACACACCAACTGACGACAATTGGATTCGAATTTGGATTTCGTGTGAACTACACTGAAAAAGTTTGTGGCTTCGTGAGGTTTGATCATTCAATCACGAGCACCTATTGGAATAAGGTGAGTTTTCGTAAGGCTCGGCCGGGTCATTGTAAGGTATCCAACTGGGGCCGTAGGAAATTTCTTAATTTTTGATTTTTATTTGATTTTGGTTTTTGTCGGATTAGGTTTTTTACGACGCTGCTGGTTATTTCTATTATGTATTTTCATCCCTCAATGTGTTCTGGCACACATGCTTTGTTGGGACCTTTGATATTGAGTTTCTTCGCAGCAATTCCAATGTCTCCCTTATATAGGCAATGGAAGCTGATTCCACGGTTTCTTTCAAAGCACCTTCGCTTCATGGACCGAAGCCACACGTACCACTCGGGGACAATGCTTCGGCGACATGCTCCGCTGAAAGCGAAGCGCGACAAAATTCCAAGAAGCTTCATGAAACCGTCTCATTCATTGTATAACTCCTTTGCGAGACTTCAGATAGGCACAGTTTTCTAAAGCTACATAAAGCTGCATGAAAATGCACGTCTTGAAACTAGTTTATAAGGGTGTCCAGCATTAATAGTCAGTGATACGAAAAATCCTTTCTGCTCAAGGCTAAGCCCAGGCCAGAGAGCCTTCACTCCTTTACCACTGAGCAAAAGTCTCGGCAACGTGACTTAGATACCCGGGTGGGCGTGGCACAGGGCAAGCGTCTTGCGAAATGGACCGTGTTCCCAAATTTGTGCTATGAGAAGATATAGACGCGACACCAGTTACAAGGTAAAACTTCCATATGTCTTCAAGTGGGCTTAATGTTGATTTCATGATCATACGTAAGACCTGATAACCACTTTTTCGCCTCTGCCTAATGTATACCTTTGCAAAAAGCATAAATTCCAATCTAAGTTAATTCTTCCTCTCGGAACTTCTTAGTTCAAGCAGTAGAAACACCAGCTGTTTAATAAAAGCCGAAAATTATTCGCTCTCCAAGCTCGAAGAAGCGCTGAAGCCTAATTATATCCGTCCACGTCAAGCCCTCGCCCTATTTTGGCCACGCCCACCGGGTATCTAAGTCACGCACCCAAACGTCTCCATCACCCAGGCGGTGTCTTGGGTTCAAATATCATGCCTGCTCTGCACCAGATGCTACTTATTGGAAGAGTCCCTCTTATCATTGAGTTAAGGTTCTTGAAGGCACGCTCATTTGATGTTCAAACGCCTTCGGACAGGGTGATCCTGTTTGCAAGCATGGGGGCACTGCTCTCGCGGCTCAGAACTGCGTGAGGGGAGCGCGAAGCCACCGCTCCGCCTACTGGCCCCATAACGCCCAACTTCCATTGCTAAAGGCTTCCTGGTGCTGCGATTGTTTGTTATTAGCTCTCTCGATTCCAAATGGTGAAAATGAGGTGATTAGCAGAAAGAGCTGATACCGGCAAGTGAGAACTCCTCCGACCACGCCCTGTCTTCGCTTTATGCTCGAATGAGTGACTGGTTCTGGCTGGTTTTTCTGCCTTTTTCTTCTTTTTTGTGTTATTTACCATCTTTTCATTAGTCTGAAGCCGCACAACTAACCATTTTCGAATGCATGCCTTTGAAAATGCTATTCATAAGGTGCTATTCCGGTAAGTTATTTTGGTTCAGTAGTTCAGAAAACTTCTTTTACCAAAGGTGTGAGCCCAACTCGAAGCTCCATCGCCCCTGTAAAATTGAGGATAAGCCTTTGTCACCTATGCCGTCTCTTGGATTCAAATTTATTGTCTGCTCTGCTCAAAGTGCTTCACTTGTTGGAATAGCGCCTCATGCTATTAAATCAAGGCTCTTAATTAATCTCTGGAAGTACACTACTACTAGCGCTCGGCAAACATGCGTGTGCACTAGTGGAGCATAATTAGTTTTTGCTCATAAGCAAAGGAAGTTTCCGCTGAATCAGTCAGGATATCTTAACTTTCAGCCTGATGAAGGACCGCATTCGCCATGTGAATCCGAAGGGAAGATGTCAATCGTTCATCCAGAGCTCCATTATACCCCACCTTCATGGGCTTCTGTGCCTGAGCCTGGTCAAGGTTACAAGTTGGAGGTATGTTCAGAATTTTCACAAATAAGTTGTAAATATCTTTTCAACATGTTGATGACGTTCGATTTATTTTTTGTCCTCTTCTTGTTCTATTGAACCCCACCCGGTTCCCCAAAAACCGTCGATCTTGGGCTAAGGGGAAGAGCGAAGGGGTATAGAACGAAAATCCAGTCCTACTAACTGTCAGAAATCGTACAATCTCTGAATGATCCAGATTATAGTAACACTACGGACCTGAATCGGGGTGGTCTATATATGGTGCCTAAAACGGGAAACTCATTAGTCGAAATGTTTGGAGCCAAACGAGGCTCTCTTTTTGGCCGTCAAATAAGACCACCTCGACTACATGATGAGCATTGTCGTACGTGAGTATCAACAGTTTAGGTTGTAAAAAGCGGGACCATTGTTGGTTGTTTCGATTTGGATGTCAGAAAACACAGCACCTTTGTTGTGATCGGACGTCTGCTAAACTGTGATATAGTACTCGGTAAGCGCTTTCAAGTGTCGGTTATTGAACTGTTGTTTAACGCCGTAGTTCGCGCACCGACCGAGTTACCCTAAGAATGCTGGGACATAGACAAATCTCTTGACCTTTGATAAGACCATCAAGCTGAGAGGGTAAGAGGTGCGCCGCACGGGAAGCGCACTAGCCCAGTAAAGTTTTGAGGTTGCAAGAGCTAGGCTAAAAATTTGCCACGCACCACTCCGGTTTTACTGTGCCTTCAGGCTTCGCCACCGGTCGGAGAGCAGCGGAATAGCGACAGAAAGATTGCGTACGCTCCTCTGGAATTCTCCCAAGTCACAGTTAAAATTCTGTTGATTTCAGCTTTTCCCAGTGTTGTGTGGAATGTTAAGCGGCCCAGTTTCTTGGTGTCATCGCGATCCAAAGCATGGATCGGCTACGCCCCCCCTCCTTGCCAACACCTGCCTGCCACTGTTCTACGTTTCCCCAAAAATTTTCCGTCGAGCGGGGGAGGGGGAGCGGCGGCACACATGAAACAGGAAAAATCAATGAAAAGTCAACAAACAGAAAAATTTTCTCAAAGCGCGCACATTTATTCTCAACTCTAACGACGCCTCTCTCCCACAACAAAATACGACTCCACGCACTCCCGGCGAGCCAAATCACGATCCTCTCTCCCTAGCCGGAAATAGTGACCTCCACACAACGATGCTTAGCGTGGTTGTGTCGCTTAGCGATCTGGCCGCGAAGTATGAATGCGCGCACACCTACATGATGGTGGACCGGGAGGGAAGGAGCCGAATTCTGAAATGGAAATTGTTTGACCAGAGGCACTGCCATAGCTGCTATTTCAACCGCTTGTTGTTGAACGAAATGAAATGCCGCAGTGAATTCGAAGACGTTTCAGTTGTTGCTCTCTGCTGTGTTCTTAACTGGAATTACGGTGTATTTTTTGTCCTCTGAAACAACTGCCCAGTAATTTTCAGATCATCCTTCAATTTCACGCTATCATTGTATTCTACAATATGGTGACGATCCGATGGACCGCAAGGGTAAAGGATGGCACATCTACGATATGGGTAGTACTCATGGTAGCAAGGCGAATAAAAAGAAAGTACCGGCCAAGCAGTACATGCGTATTATGGTTGGGTTCGTACTGCAGTTTGGAGGTTCATTACGGTTTTCTGTTTCTCTTACTGCCTGTGCTGTGGTGCCTTCTTTCTCATGCCTCCAAAATAACATTCGTGTCTCAAGGTAGTACGCGACTACTTTCATTGCTTGGGCCATCGAGTGACTGCGAAGCCGAGTGGGAGTGCTCACCTACTGAAATGAAGGAAAAGGTGCACAAAAAAGTAGGTGAATCTCGGATGTCTTTTGTAAAAGTGAACATACGTTTTGCTATGTTCAGGTCCTGGAATCTAAGTTGGCACAAGCAGCCCGAAAGGAGTTTGAGGCAGAAAAGGCGAAAGACGCTGAATCAGAAGGAATAGACTGGGGCATGGGATTCGACGAAGATGATACACCGGCCGTAGAGGTGTGATTTTAGGGTTATTGATTGTTTTCTGTAGCCTGAATTACTGGCGGCTCTGCTTCCATGTGTTCTATGAGCCTACTTTTATATACACCTTATTTAGCTGGACATGGATGGTCACTTGATGGAGGATCGCGAGCAGTATTACCAAGCGGATCCTAAAAAAGCACTCTCAAAGTTTTTCGAACGTGAAGGTTTCGATATGAATTTCCAGTTCTCAGAGCAAGGTTCAGGACATACGCACAAATGGTTATGTACCATTGAGTGAGTTCTCAGAATTTTTAGGTTGAAGACAATTTCGAGGATTTCCGACATCACTTTCATGTGCTGACATCTCCTAAGTGAACAAGTTCTATTGTGGAACGAGCAGTGCGAAGAGGACCTGCCTTGCTTAAAACTAGAAGTTTAAACTACAGCTAGGAGGTGGAGGGGGGAGGGCGATTTTTGATGGACTTTCTAGTAAGCGTACTGTGGCCCTTCTCGGCCTTCCTATACTGGATAAGTCTTGAGCTGTGCTTATGTGGCGCCACGGCGCGCTGAGTCAAGTGCTGCATAAATTCTGCTCCACTGAGCCGCATTCCTTGACGCTACTCCTTCATGAGCATTTGAGAGGGGGGAGAGGTGTTTTACAGTGTAGTTATGCTCGTTACTGTGTGATTATAGGTGTCATCAGGAAAAGAAGCATCGCTAACAAACAACATAATTCAGGCTTCCCATCGAAATCAATGGTGTCGATCGTACCTATACGGCACAAGCGATAGTTTCAACCTCGAAAAAGGACGCCCAAGTGCAATGCGCTTTGGAGGCGTGTCGAATCCTCGATAGTCACGGAGTTCTTAGGTAATACAGTATAAATCATATAATTTTATATTCTATGAATAATACCATGACTCGTAGCGGTTTTATTTAGATCATCAAGTTCTAAGGCCAGGACAAAGAGAAACGAGTTGGAAGAGAATGATTTCTATGACGAAGATGATGACGAGTATCTTGATCGGACAGGTCAAATTGAAAAGCAGAGAGAAAAGCGCATGATGTGGGCCAAGGTATGAGGTTAACTTGAGTAGATTTTACATTTTACGTGTCTTGTAAGTAACATGGGATTACTTCTTAGTTGAAGTACACTCGAGATTGGAAAAAACGTTCATTGGCTGGCTGTTTTTTCCTTGAGTCCGTTGATTCATGAGCTAGTCGGTCCAGTGTCTCACAATCAGTGTCTCACATCTCTACGATGACCTTAAACGACATTTCTCTCATCATGTGAACAGAGAGATGAAAACACCGTACCTCATGGGATCAACTGGATCAGGTACGGTAGCAGAGACCGGAAGCTTTTGAACAGATCGCATGCTGGGCCCCGTTTGGAGAGCTAACCTCAGAGGTCGTCTCCCGCGTAGTTAACGAACTTCCTCCTCCGCACTTTCAAGTTCATGTGCGGGTACACTCGTTATCACTGAAGCCAGTCGGGGTGTGTCAGTGACGCATGGATTTTGGCCTAGCGCCAGCACCTTTTCCGCCAGTTATTGAACACGCCAAGCAGCGACGATTATGAAAAAGAGGGTGGTGCAAAGCCGATACCCTTACACCACAGACACACCCCGACTGACTTCAGTGATATTGACTGTAAACAAACAGTAACTATACATCACTGTTTTTGTTAAGAATAAGACTGGAGAAAAGACTGAAAAGAAAAGCACCTATGAGTCGCTCTGCAAGGAACTCGAAGAAACGCGGGAAAACATCACCAAGTTAAAGGAGAAATTAGAAGGAATGCATGCGGTATCTCTCCTTACATATTTTCTGCTTTATATATGAACTTTTCCTTTTCCCGATTATTTCTGTTGCATTCATGCTAGTGATTACAGGCCCACGCTTCGACCAACACTGGTGATTCCTTGGACGATTACTGCAGGCAATTGAATGCGGGTCATGGAGTCATACAGGACATGAAAGTTTGTTGTTATCGTTGGCTATTTGACTCTTCTCAGGAGTTACGGTCTCGGCTTCAGACGAAAACTGAAACGTCACAACTCCGTCAAAAATTGGTCGCTCTCACACATGATGCGCAAAGGCTGGAGAAGCTAGTTAAGATTGCGAAGCCAGTGGCACTCCCTGAGCTGAAAGTGGCTGGTACCAGCACCAGTGGTAAGGCTTCTTTCTTCTTTTTGACATTATAGGATTCTGTTTCTTATTGAAGGATAAGTTAAGTTTTGGATTTACAGCAGTTCCTTTTAGGTGCCGATAAACAAGCATTCCTTCGTAAAATGATGATGGTTGGTAGGAAAAAAGTGTCTGATACGAAACCAGCCATCAGCGAAGAAGGAAGTTCCGTGAAGGGACCAGCTGCAATGCCTTCATCTAGTGAACCATTTAAGCCTGAGATTGAAGCTGATGATGAGGTTCGTTGGTTTTCACATTGTCTTGTGGTGCTTCTGATTGGATTTATGCATTTCGCTTCATGAACTTAGAGTACGCTAAAGTGGGGCTAGTAACCTTGGAAAAGTCCTTACCTTCACTGTGATATTTGTAGTTTTGCAACCGGTGTCCTTCATGCCCCTCCAAGTTTGTTAGCCTCCACTAACTCTGTTCTGTCTCATTTTTAACAATGCACCACCAAGAGTTATATTTGCTTCTCAGACCGATAAAGTGGCTGATGTTCCAACGCCCTCCGCAGCCCCACAGGTGGAGACACGACAACCAGCAAAGCAGAAAGGTACGATAGGCTTTGAGAGTGTACTAATACATCAGCGATATTTCCTGTGAACTAGAGCACTTACATTTGTTTTGAGCAGCTGACAAAGGAAGAATGTCAGGTTATGAGCACAATGCGTGAAGGCCTCTGCATCAAGGTAACACTGAGCACCCATGTGAGGTCGTGCAAAATACGACTGGAAGGCTGGGAATGAACAGGAAAATCAAGTACCTAAGCTCGAGGGGTCATGTGCATTATTCCCCTAGTTGACGGAATAGCGCCGCAAAAAACCACTATATAAACCATGTTTTGTAGACGATTTTGGGAGTTGGCTTGATAGAGGACCATCTCACCCTTCGCGCGTCGAAATTGCTCGGAAATATTGAAGATTGGAAGTGTGATAGGAAGGCTTCACGAATTAGGGAAGAATTGTACGCGAAGGCGGAATCAAATGAAGGAATCGAGTTGAAGGGGGGGGGGCGTACTGGCACTGCCTTGTTTCAGGATTATCACGATGTTTTACGCGGGTGTACAAAGCAAAGTTCACCACTGAACGTGAAAGTAGATTTCGATGCAGCAAGCGAGCAAGCCATGGTGAGGTTGGAGAACGGTGAACTCCTGAGGAAAACGCCGATATAGGTAAACTAGAGAAAATCAATCATCTGCGTCCGCTAATAAAGGCCAACGTTAGCAGTTGCTGGCCTGTAGACACGATTCGTCAAACGCTTCAATACGCTGAAATGAACAGTTGAAAAGGTCGTTGACTAGGCTAGCCACAATAGAACATGCCTTGGGAAGTTGGCGATATCTAACAAAAGCAACCACAGCGGTGACCAACGCTGGAAGGAGCAGAATATCTTTTCGAAGACTCTTAAAAGGAGCATCTTTCTGAACAGCTCCTAAAAGCTCTATTTTCAGCTGAAAGGCCTTTGACTGTGAACATTTGCTGATGAGCCCACACGAGACAAAAGGGTACGTGGGTTTCGGGGACATAAGGGCGTATTTACTTAACCCTGAGGCGGAGTGGGCGTGGCATTTGAACCCGGCATGGGACGGGTTACTCGAGGAATACTTCAATTCGAGAAAACTGTTGTCTTGTTCTGCGCTGGACATCATAGAACTGCCCCAGAATGTAGATATCTCACGAAAATCTCGGCTGCCGCTAGGTTCAATTTGAGTACGTAGTCACGCCATCTCAGGAATTTCGAGTACTTACTGGGCCATCAACAATTACTGCAGCTACTGTACATATGAAAAATAATTTCACTAGAAAAGTTTCCATCTTTAGGAACATAGTTTCAGAAGAAAAAAAAATCGGAAACCATCAGTGGAGGCTCATGGGACAATTCCACCAGTATCTGATGAGATAAGAAGTAAAAGCGACGAAAATGAGAAGTCGAAAAACCAGCCTTGTGAAGAAGGTGGGTGAGCGGCTGAAAGCTACAGCTGATTCCGTTTTTGTGGAGTCGTATTCAAATTAATTTTATTTTGGAATACTTCCTGACCCCACAACATTACGAGTAGATGTTTTAAGAAATGGAACCGCGACCTGCACCGGTGGCCAATAGAAGTGATGAACAAATTTCTGAAGAAGACCCATCTGGTGAAAGCCCTCAAAGTCGCATATCAGAAGAGCGATCCTCGCACGAGGAAAAAGGTGAGGTTGAAAGCCAATCAAATAGTGGAACCGGGCAAGGTTTACCTCTGCAGGAATCCATACATTGTCCAAGTCAATACTGTGGTTCCCTGCCAGCACTCATACCAGCCATGCAGACGGTTTCAGCACCACTGCTCAGCCATCCGCCGACGCTCTGCATGCAGATTTGTGACGGGAGCAGCTGCCTTGCTGGTGAACGAAGGATAGAAAAAGCGATCTCTTTCCGGAGAAAGTGAGAACACAACTGAAGGGACAAAGAAGAAAAGACGTGTTCGAGTGCGAGCAAATCGACTATCTGCGGACACTAGTGAGGATTACGGCACTGGGTGAGTGAGGAATACTTTTCATTCCTCTTCAGTTCCTATACTATGTCGTTATGAGTTGATTAGACTTGGTAACAGCCCTTCCCCTTCGCATCAAAGTTCTAGTGCGAACGGCGCCTACGTGACACTATGGGCAGCGCTGCGTCGCCGAGGAGCTCCCAGCCGCCTATATATCCTATATTCCTTACTTTCATCACTTTATGCGACAAATTGATCCAGAGCTATTTCTGCTATACTGTTTTAGTGTCGATGACGATCGCTATGCCACATGGCTTCCTCCCGAGAATCAAAGTGGTGATGGAAAGACTGCTCTGAATGCCAAGTTTGAAGGAAGATACTAATTACGCTGGGGACTTGATCTTTTTGGAAATTCTTCTGGTGTACTTCGCCTCCGAGGAGCGACGAAATTGAGAGAAATTCGGGCTGGCGAAGCGCCTTCTCCTTCTGACAAGGGAAGGATGGTAATTCGAAGTGGCCATTTGAAATGAAATGTATACCGGTTGGAAGGTCTTCGGACGGGAATTACAAACCGTCTTCCATATCTGCTGCGGACCTCCCAGAAAGAAGTTACGGAGCCTTGTAGTGGGAAAATACACTACGTAAATTGCGCGGTTAAGGCTGGCACGATCGTGCAGCGCATGGCCCGAGTGGCGTACGTCCCTAGGGCCTCAATGGGATGCGCGGTCGAAGGGTTTGGATCCTTGATGCGTGTGCCCTTTTGCATTTTTTCGAAAGTGGTCCCTGTGCACTTCAAAGCTATTTTGCATAACACTTGTCCGTGATAATGTCGTGACGTAATGATTCTGAACTGATGGAGCCACTGCGAACGATTTCATGGAGATCACCTCCGGCTGAAAAGATTGTCATACGAGCCGAAAACTTCCGGCAGGTACGAAAACACTTTGGGATAGCATAATTCAACATTATGTGAGTGGTGAATGAAGCTCTTGCCCATCGCGATCTCCAGCAGCATGATTGCCACATCAACGCCACTTCACATGAAAGCATTGTCCCACTGTACCCATCTTCGTGCACAACTTCGTGCGTTCGGATTCGTTTTCCAGTCATGTCGTTGGGGAGGAATAAAGTCATTGAAGGCAGAGTCTTCGTTCGGGATGCCACTTTTGTTGTGTATGCTTTTCAAATCAAAGAAAGAAGAAGACAACAGCCAGAAAGTGGGCACTATTGAACTACCCCTACCCTACCCCAAATAACTCAAAAAAATTTTTTCGCTGAAACGCCCCCCATTTGCCTATAGATGTAATTCAATGCGCTGAATCACGAGTATAACATCCGTTTCGACCGCTGGCGTCATTTGGCGCCATTATGCGCCAATTTGGCGCCCACCACTTTTTTCACCAAAGTTGATGAAAACTTGCATATGGGGGGTCAGTTGAGGTCCTCATTACGAATATCACACTGGTTTCATGTGCTGGCGTCATCATGCGCCAATATACCGCCGAATTGGCGCGTAATGGCACCAAATGGCGCCAGCGCCAAAAATAAATGCTGGATTCGTAATCAGGACCTCAATTAACCCCCATATGCAGGTTTTCATCGACTTTGGTGAAAAAAGAGGTGGGCGCCAAATTGGCGCATAATGGCGCAAATGACCGCCAGCGGTCGAAACGGATGTTATATTAGTGAGCAGCGCGTTGAATTTCATCTATAGGCAACGGCAACACAAAAAAAAAATTGAGTGAGGGCAGGAATAGTACAATAGTGTCCAGAAGGTGATCTCTATGGAATGGTTTGCAGTGGCTCCATCAGTTCAGAATCATTACGTCACGACATTATCACGGGCAAGTGTTATGCAAAATAGCTTTGAAGTGCACAAGGACCACTTTCGAAAAAATGCAAAAGGGCACACGCATCAAGGATCCTAACCCTCGACTGCGCGGAGTGGGCGGCTAAGCGCCTACGACGTACCCACTCGCGACCATGCTGCCGCACGATTCGTGTCGGCCTTACGCCGCCAATACGTGGTGTGTTTTCCCACTACAAAGCTCCGTAACTTCTTTCTGGGAGGTCCGCAGCAGATATGGAAGACGGTTTCGTAATTCCCGTCCGAAGACCTTCCAGCCGGTATACATTTCATTTCAAATGGCCACTTCGACCTACCATCCTTCCCTTGTGAGACGAACACCTCATCTTTTCTCAGTCTACGTCCACAATACAAGGATTGCCAAACCTGTAGGTACATTTTGCGATTACATACTCTCATTGTACAGGGTAGCTTGTGTGTTGCACATGTCGATTCAGTCGCAAAGGTATATTCACGACCCAGTCATGCTGCTGCTGAGGCCGGCATACGCCATACGAGCCCCACAAACACTTGAGGACCCATTTGAAGAGCTCCCCAACTTCTCTCATTTCTTTCTTTAACCTTTTGCCAGCGATTGCATTGTCTCTCGCCTTTGGTTTCTCGTCAAGTGCTGCAAAGTATCTGCGGAAAGGGACCCTAATTAGGGTTTTTGCAACGTTTTTTCTTCAAGTGAGTCAAGCTGCATATAGTATTCCTTACACGAACCTCGCTGCCCACGGCTTGCAGTCGCAGAATGTGCCTACAGGGTGCACTACACGGTGAAAGCCCCCAATCTTTAACTACCTTCTCCAAGGTCTCCTAATGTGTTGGTAGTGTTCGATATTTTGCAAATATGAATTGGTGAGATTTAAGTCAATCTTGTACACCCTGGACCAGTTTTGTGGCCCTGATTGCTTCCTTTGCTAAATGTTTTGGGTTTTGTTTTATTTATTCTTGTTTGATTGCTTCATGTGTGAATTATACGCGTACGATATATGTACATCCGAAGGGCTGTTAGTAAATTTTTGGAATTTGTAAAACGTTTTTTTATTTGGAAGTTATACGATAGTAACGAACGACTGTACTATGGGCGGAGTGTTCTCCCTCACGGCGAAAGAAAGAACTCTCGTAGGAACTCTCGTAGAATAATCATGTCTCGGAAATCCTTGGTCTACAAAGGAAATAAACGTAACGTGGCCTTTGTTGGAAATCCCTAGTGCATTCGAAGAAACATCAATAATGCACCAGCCTTTTGATGCTAGATAGCATTAGGTTGGTGCTAACTTTCACGCCCCCCCCCCCCTTTGTTTTGATCCTTCCGTATTTCGTTTGCATGGATTGAGTGCATGCCTCTAATCTTCAGGTTGGTTCGCTATTGAGATATTTACGAAAAATTCGGGGGAAAAAGCCCAATAGTTTGGAAATGGCTGAGACGAATCCAATTAGCAACGCGTTCACCATCGTTTCAATAAAAACGGAAGGAATCTCCAGGCACTGACAGAATACTTTTCATTGATAGCCGTGTCAATCCCTTTTGGGCTATTTGTTGTGTGAAAGCGCTAAGAATCTTGTGAGTGCTTAGCTGTTGCAGTGTAGGAAAACTGGTGGAAGAACTGCTACATGGAATCCGCTAAAGTTGCACTAGAAATAGCGGAGTAGGTGATTTCACAAGGAAGTGGAAAACTCCGGGATTAGAGCAAGCTGTTCCCCTCATGCTTCATTTTGCCATATTCTGGAGCAAAGCATGTACAGTAGTCATCACAGTCAGGGCGTGAGTTTTGGCGCAGCCTCAAAGCGTCCGGGCGTTCAACGAGTGATGGAATCGGCTTGCTCAAAAATAGGTATATTCTTCCACTTATTCAAATTTTGTGACGGGGTCCGCTTTCCTCGCCGCGTGGAACCACTTCGCGCCGGATTGCCGATCGAACTGCTTGATCGAATGAGTTGTCAAATTCGTTTTCAAGTCCCGGTTGTATTGAAGGCATTGCATGATAAAATCCCTCTAAGACGAGTAGGATGATACGCCTGGCAGGACAGAATTCCGCTCCCTTGAGGCGCTGCGCAGCGCCCTTTCCAAGGAAGGTACCTCAGGCCCTATCAAGCTGCAACATACCGACCTGAACGCCCGACCACGCCGCCGCCCGTAAACAGGCGACCGTTCCTGACGCTCATTCTTTTGCTGAGCAAATTATGAAGCGAAGGGGCCGCGGTGCTGCATGTATATATGAGTACATACTTGCAGCCGTACCTACTGTAGCGGTTGTTCACAAGGTGCGTGCGGGAAGCTCGTCCGAAATTGCTTTCTGAGCTATTAAGGATTGAGTTTCTTTCGAAGTTTTTGCCGGTTCAATTCGTTTTTTTTCGTCATGCCCATACTATACGTAGGTCACCCAAGCGAGTTCCCTCCCTAAGAAAACGCGCTCCCTTGTTAGCCATACGTTTCGATGCTTTTGCAGCTGCTGTCCTCTATTCGTCTGCGTCACAGGGTCTCGTAACAAGACCATTCGCAAAAGTTGAAGATGTCACGTAAAAGCGACTGACAGGTCATGCGCTTGAAACGGACTCGCCATCTAATTGGTCCGTTGGTAATGTCGGTCGCACGGAAGGTCTTGGCGAAAGGATATCCAGTTAACTTGAGAAAAGTTTGCCAGCAGTGAATGCAAAACACACAGTAAACTTTCTAATGTTTGTTTAATTCGTTTGAAATCGTTGTGATTCCAGGTATGCCGACTGTAATGAGAACTGCACTGGAGTGCACGCACGATAGGCATCATAAACTGCCTCGAAATAAATAATAAAGAAAATACCTGTACTCGTAAGTAGTGATCCTGTAACTCCACTCAATCTATGAAATCTGTGCACTTCGAGTATAAATAGAGAATTATGAATTATTCTTATCAGCTTTAGTGGTGAATCAAACCACATTGCTTCCTCCCCATGGTTACGTTATTATTAGGTTGGAAACAAAGTCCTGCGACACTTTGTTTAAGTTGTGCTAGAAAAAGATAAAACAACATTTTGATATTTTCATTCCTTGGAAACTTTCAAAGCTTAGAAGTCCCCAAAGGTCAAGAAACTTTTTTCTCATATTATAAGTTCCTGTAAGGCCACTCTGGCGTAGTCGAGGCAGCTAACACCTGCTGTCTTCAAAGGGGATGTACATAGCCCATCGGCCACATTTCGATGTATCAACGCTGGCAATTAGGACGCGTATAGGCCAAGGTATACTGGGCGGGGGGGGCGGCCGGGTGGGGGGGGAAGGAGCAAAAAAGAGACTTTTCTTCCTTGACTTTCGAGGCGCTATAAGTTACACTTTATTAAATTCTGATAGGACATTTCCCTCCGCCACAGCCTTCTGGAGGAGCGCCATCGAGAGATTCTGCCACGCGACCGTGAGTGGGTGCTGAGTTCAGCGAGATCGTTGATTTCTCCGCCACTGTAGACCACCCTATTGAACTCCGCCCGAACCGGGTAATTGAGGATTCAGGTCAGGTGACCTACTTGGATATTCCATCTTCCTCAGGTACTCAACGCCCT